CATTCGGACACAATCCGGTGCTGGGGAAAGAAGACGGGATGCGGAGTACTTGCGTTGGTTTCAAGCCGCCAACTACATCACGCGGACATCGAAATTTCATTAGCCCCAATCCACAAACTGCTTCTCCGAGCTGGGGGTTCAGCAGTCTTCTCATGATTTTACTTCGCAAGCGCATCTTTCATATTCAGAAACATAATGACGAGAGGCAAAATATTGCATGCCACACCTGCACTCGCAAACTCGAGTATATATGTCTGCCCATCGGGCATGTGGACCCAGATGAGAGCCGAAGTGAAAGGTTGGACACGATGGTTTGGGCAGTGTTAATGAGGGCTGGATGACTACTTACATGGATGACGTGTTTGTGTTCACCCAGAATAAGCAGCATCTCTGATTGTTCCTGCCCCTTGAGGTGCAACTGCCACATGAGAATCAGTCATAGGACCACGGAACTCTTTGTTTGTCATGCAGACAACTAGCTGCTTAGAATTCCGTTGCAGACAACTAGCTGCTTAGAATTTCGTTTCGTTGCAGCAGGAGACTAACCATATCCGGTGAAAATTTTAACTGACACCGGGCAATAAGATTCCAGGATCCCTGTCACTCACATCGCATCGTCTTCACTATTTGTGCTCAAAAATCCCTTTCTCTTTCCAGCTTTAGCTACTGGCCTGGTCGTTGGGGTGATGCTCTCTCAGACATCCAATAATCCACATAAGTACTAAATAATCGCCTCCTACTAGCATCATTCAACGGGAGGAGAGCAGAAGCGTCCAACACGTGAGAGGTCTAGGCGGTCTAAAACCAGCGTCACAACTTTTAGTAGGCATTTCACTATTCGGACCGATCGTCAAATCGTAACTCACCTGACGACTCGCAAAACGAAGGTGCCGCTCGGTGGCTTTGCTGGTTCGGGGGGATATATTCCGCAGTCAAGAAAACTATCAATCTGGTGGCTGATGCCCTCTCCCGACGCCTCAACAGGTTCGGTACTGTGTTCGTAAATTGCGCCTACCTGAGGTGACTACCGTTTTTCCTACCCACACACTTCTTGCGCCTTAGATGTTTGCGCTGCTGCCCTTCTTGCCAAGCCCAACAACCGATGATAGATTAAGCGCAACGGCACAGACGACGACATTTTGTGGTAGCAGCAGGAAGTGCGGACTACTCCGATTGAAAGTTTCGGACCTGTTCCGCGCAAAAAGCTTGCGCCCAGTACGCAGCCACGGTCTAGCGTGGCGTGGCAGTTTCAAAACATCAGCTTAACAACGGGTTAGCGGCCAGGGATGAGCTCCTCAACCGCGTAAGCTTTCCTCGCGTGACCGGGTGTTCAGCAGCTATAGTTGAGGGACACATTCAAGGCCAGACTTTTGCAAAGTCTCCCGATTCCTGAATGGATCTTTATGGATATCTCAATTGTTCCCATAGTGTACTTTCCATCAGTTCATGCAGCTGTTCCATCAATAAAAAGGTTGGGAATATGCTTGCGTTTTGGGGGGTTAGGCTTACATATCCACTTCATTTCCTGCTCATGCAGAGGCTATTGCTTCCCTGTTCACTGGTCACGTCTGCAATTTCCACAGTTTTCCTAGTAGCCTCACTGCTGGCAAAAACTCGAAGTTTGGTGGTGCACTCTGGCGCGAGTTCATTATGCCTTGGTTTCCATGACGACGGCGGGCCAGCCGGACACAGAGGCTAAACGCAAACCCACACATTACACGATAGTGCAATATTGACGGCATGAAGTTTCTCAGAGCGGCTTGCAACCACACCTTAACCTAATTGCCTTTATATTCCAACGGTGCATGCCCACTGTCTTCCAGCGGCCGTGGCCTACACAGAAACACCGTTGTCTGACCCGGTGTCGACCTTCGTTATTGGAAGCCAGCCTTGTGCAGCTGCAACTGCAAAATTCCATGCGCCATTTGCAGCTGCTCGGGAATGCATGAAGGAAGTACAGTCCACTTCAGCCTCTGCTCGAGTTCATGCGCAGGCCATTACTTCGCTGTTCTGGAAGTTCTACGGTCTTCCGAATACTCTCACTGCAGGAAAAAATCTAAGTTTGGTGGCAAGAGAGCCAGGCAAGAAACTAGAGCAAACGGCATTCGGCATTTATTTTTCTGCGAGGGACGCTCAGGAAGGCGTGCAACCGAAGTCACCCGCCACTCACGTAGTAGGAATTTTTCCTCTTCGTTTCCGGGTGAGCGTGTTGGCCTATATTATAGAATCACCCCCACCGTGAAAGTGCCATCATTCATTTGATGTTACATTTCCATAAGACTTCGAGCCCTCCTCACGCCAAGTCAGCAACTGCTTTGCGACGAGGAGCAGCGGGAGGCGACTCGCATTCGATGCATGTGCCAAGGCGCAGGTGTCTCAGGAAACGAAGCCATTACTCAAAATGGCCAGGAAAGTGGTAGTTCGAGTGGGCGCCTGTGGACTGCGTGCGCGAAAGAATCCCTTAGGAGCATAGAAGTGCCTTGGCGTCCCTTAAAATCGCAGGAAGGAACACCGCAACTTCAATTTGTGCTGCATCCAACAGCATAAAACAGCATGAATTTAAGTGAACACCACACCTTAAATTTGTGCTGCATACAGCAGCATACCGCCACCACCGACGGAGGAAGGTGGTGCACGTTGCTGGAACAAAATGCGGCATTCAATGACCATAGTTTTACCAGCTACTCTGGTTGCCACAAGATACTCGCAACCAGAGTAGCTGGTAAAGCTAGGGCCTGGCGCGCTAGATGCTTCGAAGAGGAGGGTCTTGGTTTCAGTTGTACGAAGCTTCCTCCTTTGGGAACGAGACTTTCTTTTCACTTTCCATGTGACTGCAATCTCCTAAAACGTTCTTTCACCTCCTCTCTGTGCCTCTCGTTACTTGTCGCACCCTCACAGTATCTTAGATGAGCGCCGAGCACTAAAGAAGAAAGAAGATCGATTTCTGAGTGACTTAATTTCCCTTCATTTCAACTCTACTCCTATCGGCATGCTCCATACGTTCTTTCATCCTTTCCATAGCCTTCTCCACGAGAACGCTTGAGTCTGGAGTCTTAGCAGCAGCGTTTAGCCCCTATAGACGTGGGGTGTAGTGGCCGCTGATGTTGGCTTCTACCTAATCTTTGCAGAGATACAACCTCCCTTTTTCGCTTCTGTCTCCATCCCCTCCCAGTTTAATTTACCTGCGCGCAAATATCTGTGGTTCTCCTCGAAGCAAATTGTCCCCACTGGCCTTTTACAGCTCGCGCCCTTCCTGAACTCTCTCCCTGCAGATCGCTTAAAAGCAGGGAGCGCATTGACCTCTCAAAGCTGCTGCGGTTTCCTTGAACTACTTTGAGAGATTAATACGTTCCGCTGGGTAACCAAGCTACTTTTCTCCAACAATTGACTTTTCAATCCAGCGGTGTCGAGATTGGCTTGAAATGGAGTGTAAATAGCTGCGGATAACTTAGTGGAGTTCAGCGAACAGCAGCCGCACATTGCTGTCTTGGACATGCCAGATCGACGAATTTGGAGCGGATTTTGTTATTCCACGAAACCCATTCAAGAATAAAATCCGCAGGCGCAGATTCAGGAAACATTCTCCTGACGATGCTGTTCCGATAGGCTGTAGATCTACAACCTATGGGTTAAACTAACAACGGGAGCCAAGCTGCTAACTCACAGCTATATTGTGTTAGGTTGCTGCTTGAAGAGAACGGCCTAGGTCTTCTTGGTGCCCGAAGCTACTGCCCCGTCTCCCTAATGCCGCTTCATTATATCCTGTAAAATACCAGCATCAACAGTAGGCTGCTTCTTGAACCTATGACACTGTCCTTTCAACTCAATTATGTTTGGCAAACTTCAATGAAATGCGCCGAATTCTTCGACCTGGCTGCTCAGTTACAGCAGCATACACCTGCAGTCCGTTGAACTCCTTTGACTTCTCCTCTGTTCCTTATTTATGATGCCAACGATAAATTTCAAGCTCTCTATGGTAGCCTCTTAGCAAACCTTGCACCCAACGGCGTACTATATGCTCCGCTGGAGTCGTACACATGAGCTACAGGCAGGCTGGCAAGTTGCCTTCGATTTAAGTTTACCCCCTTCTTGAAATCGTTAATACCTCTGTAAGGACGATGCACACCTAGGTAACAAGCTGCTTGAATGAGCGTTGTGGGCCACAGCAAAAGGTGCGTTCAGTGCAACCTGCTGTAAATTTGTTAAACGAGGGAGAGAAAGGGCTGCAACACTCGTCTAGCGTATTAACTAACTTCTCTCGAACTGCTCATCAGGTAGAAGAATACGCGCGTCTGGGTACTCTCGTGTCTGCAACATGTGAGCAAGCAGTAATTTCCCAAAATCGTTGAAAGCACAATACCACCCTACTGTGCAGTAAGCAACTCTTTAACCAACCTAGTCAAGAACTAATTAGCCAGTCCAGCCACTGCACCTACCAAAAAACCCAATGGAATACAAGAGGCCCCTAACAGAGGGCTCATTTATACTGCGATTTATATCACATTTTCCCATTTGGGGAGTTGAGCTCTCAATCAATCCAGAGCACAGAGCATGGATTGCCGTCTTCGATACATCTCCACGTACTGCGCTGTGGATAACGGCTTAGTGCATTGAGCAAACGAAACGGACGGGCAATTTTTAATGACTTAACCCTTTTGTGGTGTATGCTAGATGGGGTGCATCCACTGCAATTTCCCAAACAAGCCACAGCTACTATTCAACGGCGGCTTCCGCGACTATGAAATACTTTGCAACGCTGTAACACAGAAAATCCATCTACTCCTAAAATATCTAAGTGCCAGTTGTCTACTACTCACAGCTCACACACCGCTTCTACGACCGTCGACTCAGTGGTCGAAGGCCCACCAAGAGGGGAAGTACCGCGCAGAGTCAGTGCAATTCTCTGCAAATGAGTAGCATATTTCATCAGAATTGGAAATAAAAGCTGTCGCTCTTCCTATCCACCTGGAGCGGCGCTGATTTGTTGCGTTTGCGTGTCCATGTGCATCCGGCCAGACCGGGTGGACCAGCCACCGGGGGACGATACGATTTTCCCGCGAAAGCAAGTCTTTCTTAACAGCAACAATAAAGATGAAATAAGAATGCTGAATTGCGCTTTAAGACGGAACATCGCTGGGGAGGTGTGCATGGCATGTAGTTAGTGTAAACAGATGTTTCGTGGAGGGTTGGAAGTTTCATCGCTGGACACCTCGAATCATCACTGCCGAGATAAAAACATCACTTGGCAGTTGGTATTGGGCTGTCTCATGCGAATTTCTGTGCTGCAGACCACAAGCGACAGCATGTGGATGTTAAGGGCAGTCAAGTTCCTGCTTCTGGCAGTGGCAACAGCACTGGTGGTCCTTTCCATAAACGGCAGGGCTGTACAAAGTAAGCTTTAGACAGAATAACTCATGATTCCTCCAGCCAAGTTGCCAAACGACCAAACTTCCCTTTTTTGTTGGTTGTCTACTACTAGATGAATCTGCATTTTTGCACTGCCGTTCTTCTCAGGCACGTCGCAAACCTGGTTTCGGCAAAAGCTACTTCGGGTAAGCTGGAGCGGCTTGGATGCTTTCCCGAAGTTGAGTTTTAACTCAGCCAATACATGCCTTAAACTAATTGAGGTGTGTGCCTGCGTGCAGTTTGGCGACAGGATGAAGTGGATGAAACAGCCTCCGGTAAGGTCACAATGCAGAAACATATTAAGGCCAAGCGAGCAATAATGACTATTCGTTTCAAATTCCTGTATACGTACGTACTGTGCAGTCAACTCCTCTGACCGATATTCCTAAGGTGAGCAGCCTTTCGGACCTCATTACCCGTCTGGACGTAGCAGGCTTCAAGGGTCGCCGGACAGAAGCGGACTTGTTACACGTTTTTCAAAGTGAGTGACCGTTCACAAGCTGCAGCGTTCATTTACGGGGAAAATGGTGCGCAAGTATCTTGGTGCGCTATCTGGATTGTGTTGCTAGGCGTGATGAAGTGCTTCAGAAGCTTTTCGCCACCGCCGGGCCTTGTACTTGACTTCGCGCCGAATGTAACCAATCCCGATGATCTGATTAGAGGCTTTTTCATTTTTGTCCCACCAGGGCAGTTGATCCATGGCCCCGTTGTGGATCGAGCCTCCCAAACCAGCTTTGCTGAAATGACTGCTGATGAAGATGCACAGCCAAATACTGAGCATGTGCCGCCAGCGGGAGACGAGACAGAAGATTCAAGACCCCTTAGGACAGTGCAGTTCGCTAGTAGTCCAAGACATATTCTTGCACGTATCGTAGTGGAAGTCCTTTCACACTTGAGGGGCCCAACATGCCTGCAAGCAGCAAAACGGCTGGATGGAGTCTCTCGCTTTCTTTTGCGTAACAACTCCAAAGCTGCTTTGATGGAGCCACTCCTGGTCTTTTCCCTCATTCAGGGAAATGCCGCATCTGCTGCCAAATTCTACGATTTCCAGAGCTCACCTGAGGTTGCTGGTGCAGATCAGCTACAGCTTCGGGAGACGCCCCAAACTGCTGCAAGCAGTTCACTAGAGGCTGGCGTATACGACCCTATCCAGGTGGTCACTTTCTTTGACGTTGGTACGAAGGCGAGCACAGCTAAAGTGTCTTCTCTAGTCGCAGATTCTTTACTTCGTCCATACAGAAGCAATGGCGTACTGACTCCAATGTGTTGTCTGCATATTTTTTTCAGCGAAATCCGGCTATACAAATGCAGTTAAGAGGTTCGAAAGGTATCTAAGCAAACCCGCTGACGAAAGGGTTGTAGGCGCAATGCTCTTCGGCAACTCTCTTGCAAACCCCAGCACGCATAAGAAAATTACGGACACCGGCAGAGCTGTTGGCTTTAGCGAGGAAACTTTGCAAAGCATGGTCACCTACATCGGCCACCAGGCCATTGATATAGGAGACGCAGCTTCGATCCTCTTGCCGAATGCACCTAGAGTTTCTGCCTTCCTTCGCGGCGTTAGCTTCTACGCATTTGAGAGTGTCTTCAAGCAGAATGGTGAGCTCACTGTGTACCTGTGCGCTGGGTAAACCAGTTTGAACCCAGCATAACGTTCGTAAAGCAAGCCTACACATTCTCTGACTGCGGCGCAGGGGAATACGTCATGCCGGGACTGCCGTGTGGTGGTAACCTAACTGGCAGGATGGTGGAGACTTTGACAGGGAAGAGCCTTGGCAAAAAATACTTTGTGTACAAATATACACAGCCGCTCCAGGGCAGTTCAGTTCTTCCGGACGGAGTGTGGATGCCAGACTCAGAATCTCAAGTGGCGCGGTATCTAACAGAGAACCAGCAGCTGCAGGGGGATTACTTGCTCCAATACCTGCCACGCGTCTGCGTACGCGATTCTCTGTTCCGAAGATGCTCGAAGAAGCCTCCCTCAAATACAAAGACTAACGAACAGTTGTTATGCCTCTTCATCAGTACCCATCAGGGCTTCTTCTTCGAAGTCGACGGTGGGGCTCAGCCATTGCTGTTTTGCGAATAGCTTTGACGCTTTCATTCGTGCCTTAGCTAAGGTTATTTGTCAAGGTCAATGCGTTGTATGGATTTGCAGGAGGGGGGGTCAACGCCTTGCGCAAGAGCATGCAGAGAGGGCATTTCTCCGGCGGAGCAGTTTCAACGAAGCGCAGTGTGCTTGTTCGAAGCGCGCAAGCAATCAGCAAATTCTTCTTCAACGGGACATCTGCCTCGTTCTTGCTGGGTGCTGGTATTGGAGCTCTGTGTACAGCTTCAGGTTTGGCAGCACTTTTGGGCGGTACACTGTGCGCTGTCGGTGCAATGGGGACTACCACATTTTTCCGTAGTTTGTTCGCGACCACACCATTTTGGAAAAAGCCTACTATACCGATTAGCCTCGGCGCTTTCCTAGCAAGTGAATTCGAGCGAAACCTCAACTCTATTCCTGTTATGTTTGGGGTTCCTCGGATCCAACACCCGCCCGCAACAGGCATGGAAGAAACCAAATTGTCTGCCTAGGCGATTCTTTAACACACCACAGACATAATTTTTTTCTGAATCTTTTGATCAAATGGGCTTCTTGTTGGCCTATCTCACGGCTACTACGCGCACGGCATATGGAATGGCCTGGTGGACAGTGTGCTTAACGAAATGCAAGCAGAGGAAGCAGGACCACATGAGTTCTTGGCAAGCGAAAGTTGCGGTTGTCACCATTCCACTACGCGGGCTAGAATTAGCATCGCCTACACTGCACAGTAACTATAGGGCTTCAGGGTGTTTGGGGTTCCTCGGATCCAACACCCGCCCGCAACAGGCATGGAAGAAACCAAATTGTCTGCCTAGGCAATTCTTTAACACACCACAGACAATTTTTTTCTGAATCTTTTGATCAAATGGGCTTCTTGTTGGCCTATCTCACGGCTACTACTTGCACGCAATACTAATGCCGTGCGCATGGGTAGCAGGACCATACGAGCTTTTGGCGAGTAAAAACGGCGATTTATTACCACTTTAGTACATGCTTCAGAATTCACACCACTTAGTATGAGCAGTCGCTGTGGGATTTCAGGGGCAACTTTGCGGGATTGATCTCGTACATGTTGGACTGAGCTGCAGCGGAGCCGCTGACCCCCTCGGAACAGTTGAAGGGATGGCGGAGTCTAGAAACACCGCAAGTAAATTTCAAAATCTAGTGCCGTGGCCGCCAAACGCCAGCGTCCTGCCTGGACATGCAACCACGTGCTAGCGAATGTTCGAAAATTTGCGGGTTTGTACAACTTGACGTGGACTTCGCACGGCATGCGTCGAGCCCCCAGCGCCGGAGATAATCGCTAGATGCACTTCAAAAAGGCAGTTGCTCACTAGATAATTCCAT